GGGTTCATTATAGACTGCGATAGAAGACTTCAAGGAAATATCAGAAATGATGCATAACTCACATATGATTGAAGCATATATGGAGTATTATCCTATTGAAAGTCTATAATGTAACGTAAAACTATTATGAAGAAATGGGCTTCAGTATGCATAAAAAACAACAGCTTTTAGAATATTGGCTATAGTAGCTACATCGTGTTTCATATTTTTAATCCCGCAAGGGATTGCGCTAACAGCTTCCTTCATGTCATCGTTTTTCTTGGCGATAATTTATGTTGTCATAGTCGTGCGCTGTGCAGATTCCAAATATGGTGGTTGAGATCGTGAGCAATATAGATCGACCGATGTTTGAATCGATGATGATGATAGATGAAGACACTTGTGTGCACTGATGTGAGTTGTACTTGAATCAACGCAGCGATACGTTTCAAAGCAATTCGAGCATGATGCAAATGCAAGAATGATGGTGAATTCATTATCTTTGTCGTGCACTTTGTGAGCTGGTAAACCTGTACCAGTTCTTTCCAGCATGCAGCTGAGACACATTTACTGGGATTTGAAACGACTTTGTAGTATGGGTTGTCATTCTTCAGCAATTTTTTAATTAACTTCGATGTATAGTTCTGATCAGACAAGATAGATGCAGTTCGTGATGATGACAGTTGGATTGACGAATGAGAAACAGTAGAACAATGAGAAATAGTAGAAGAATTCGGTGATGACATTTCGGACATAAGCAGAACAAATTATATCGAAAAAACGCGCACACTCGCACACCAAGCACAAAACAGAGTGAATGAAAATTGTACGGATCATTCATCGCATGTTAATTCGTCGACAACTATTCCTCGCAGTGAAGAGCCATGAAAAATCAAAGAGAGAAACAGTCCGCGAGTGATCATCCTATGACCTACCAAGCTGACGATCTGACGTCATGCAAACAATGAGCCTAGTCGTGTGCAAGAGAGTGTAACAGAATAATTACTACCGTAAGCATTAATTCTCTCTGTAGCATATCACAATCAATCAACACTCGCTTCAATACATTGAAGCTATATACCCATCACAATATCGATTGTACAGTGGAAACTGACTTTTAGTCAGGTTCGACTAGGTTCGATTCCAATTTTTGAATGTGGGTTCGGGTTCGGTTCGCTTTCGGGCTCTGATCACTAACGCAGAATTTCGGCACATAGTGACATAGTAGATTTCGTAGAGCAAAATTTGCTCTACACACCCATATATAACACTTTTTACGAGAGTGCCGAACAGAGGACCATTTTAGCATTGAAATTTTATCGTGTAACGACATATATATTTATAACTAGATTAATTAGGAAATAGTTTCGCACGGAAATGGCCTCTGTTTGGTACTCCCGTAAAAAGTGTTATATACGGATGTGTGGAGAAAATTCTGCTCTACAAAATCTGCTATGCCACTATGTGCCGAAATTCTGTGTTAGCGATATACGATGATGGACATTTCAGCTTTATTTACAGTGTTTTTGTATTGCATTAGCGATATTTCGTATTAATTTTGTGAACCGCTGATCTATTCAACATTAGAAGTTTTAGAGGATCTTTCGTTATCATAGTAGGAAAATCGGTTGTACTCTACATGATTTTAAACATGAAAATCAATTTGGAGAAAGTCATGTATAAAGTGTCACATATACGGTGAAATTATCCTGTATTGTTCCAAAATTAGTGTCTGCTCCTGTTTGATTAACTTCGTACATTAATGTCGATCAAAACGTATACGTACTGCCAAATTTTTCGGACGACAAGCTTTTGCAATAGTCGTATCTTAGGATAGAAAAAATACAATGATCTGAAACTTCCATAATAAACTATTCTCATTATGATCTGTCATTGTGCAAAGTTTCAAGTCGAAATTCAAAAATTAGTTTTCTTGGTGCTTCTGAGGGAAATACAGCTTTGTTTCCTTCTCTGAAAGAAAAAACCTACACCACTAAAATGTTTGTGCGTCTGTCTATCTGTCCAACCAATCAGAAAGCAGCAGAGGTTCAGCATTGAGATATACTTTGTTTTCGTAAGAAAAACTTGACCGAATGATTTTCGAGCATGGAGAACATGATTCTGATGTCGATTTTGATCCATTCAACGGTTCAAGATCCGATCGACGTGGTTTTCAAGTTTCTGATGGAATTTTAAGCATGAAAAATATAACTTGTATAATTATTAGCCAAACCTTTTCGTCACAGAAGCTCAGGAGGAAGGTCAAAGCAGATGCGCAGCAAAGTCTGTTCGCTTTTCTGAAAGAAAGAATCATGCAAACGTTAAGTATTTGTATGTATGCTCAATCAATCCGGGAACAGCATCCATCCAGTATCAGAATTACACCATATTTTCCAAGAAAGGTTCTCGAAGATAATTGAGGATGGAGAATTTTAATCTGAGTTCAGGTTTTTATATACTTTTGTTATGAATATTAATAATTTTCCAATAGCGTGAGGTAAAACGTCAGTAACGATAATCGAAGGCAGAAAAATTGAATCGATGTAATGGGTTTTTTATTAAGCGTGCTTGTAGTAAAACGAAATCGTATCAAGTATTACGTATCAAGTGAAAGTGTTTAAAGTAATCACATCATCTACATAATTTTTTTTCCAGAAACTGACTATGAATGGCAATACCCATCGTAGATGTTGAATGCAAAATTCTGGAAAACTTGATTATAGATAGTTACAATATAAAAACCCTACTCCAATGTCGGCCTTCTTTGAATTTCAATAAGTGTTATTTTTAAAAACGAATTTGAATCCTCCTATAACATTTCAAAAACTTTGTTATAAAGTTCTTCAACCACAAAAGTTAGCACACAAACCTTCGATTTGAAAATTTTCCATGAAGAATCTTTCAAAATCGATTAGTCTTTCCAGAAGGATCGAAACCAAGTGAAGTAAATCGTAACTGTAGTGGATCATCGATTGTTAGTGAAGGCATAACGCAGGAGACGGCTAGCCGTGAATGGAGCGCCGACGGACAACTAGATGTTTAGTATAAAAGTTCACTGACGCAGGGCTTCAGGAAACACTCGTGAAAAACGTAGAGGCACTAGTACAATTCGTCGCAATCAATTCGTCGCAAAACAATTCGTTGCACATGTATTGTAGAGAATACATTGATTGAATTAAGTGATTTAGTTTAGAATGTTATCTAATTAATCGTCTAAACAAAAATTTTTCTTTAGACTCTTAGGAGTCTTTTTCAGGATACAATGGTTTTTCAAAAATAAAATAGAGATATCAATTTAAAGCCTATTTTAAAATTTAATTTAAAAAAATTGAAATTTGATTTTAAATAAAATTCTATGTAGATAAATGAAAAATACAACTCATTTCTTCCAATTGAAATTTAACTTTTTATTTAAAAAACGCTGAAAATTAAAACAAAAATATAAAATTGAAAACAAATCTTACAAATCTAAATTAAAAAAAATAAAGTTTTTTATTTACTGAAAACATGAATTTTAGGTGTCAAACAAACTAGAAAAATTAAAACTGAATTAACCACTAATTCGTCTTTAAAAGATGATTTAAATGTGAATTAATCAATCACGGTTCTTAATTCAGTTTTAATTTTTCTTGTGTGTTTGACCCCTTAATGAAAGAAAAATGCAATTTATTTTTAATTTGTCTACATATAATTTTATTTAAAATCAAACTTTAATTTTTTTAGATTAGATTTCTGAAATTTTTTTCGATTTTATATTTTTGTTTTAATTTTCAGCTTTTTTTAAATAAAAAGTTAAATTTCAATTGGAAAACATGAATTTTATTTAAAATCAATTCTCAATTTTTTTAAATTAATTTTTAAAATAGACTTTAAATTTATATCTCCATTTTATTTTTGAAGAACCATTGTATTCTGAAAAAGACTCCAAAGAGTCTAAAGAAAAATTTTTGTTTAGACGATTAATTAGATAACATTCTAAACTAAATCACTTAATTCAATCAATGTATTCTCTACAATACATGTGCAACGAGTTGTTTTGCGACGAATTGATCGCGACGAATTGTCGTGCGACGAATTGATCGTGCGACAAATTGATTGTGACGAATTGTACGCGACGAATTGTCTTGCGACGAATTGATCGGTCACCAAACGTAGAATCATTTTTCAAAAAACGAGCACATAGGATTCTGATGCCGATGAAATTCTACGAGAATGCGAATTTTCTGGAAAAGAAGAACATTTTCACTCTGTTACGGGATTAGAGGCTGATAGGAAACAAAATAATTGCGCTTCGACTTGATTCGATATGATACTAAATGAGCTCCAAGTCGCTTCGATTCAGTCCGATCCTCTCGCAATAATGAGATTCGATTCGGTTCTGATCGATTCTGCTCAGTCGAAGTGTACCGAGTCAAATTGTAAAATAATGAGTTTGGTTTCGGCCTTTGCACAGAGTTCACAGGGCACACTTATTTCTATAATTTTATCATGTGATATTCGTGTATCAACAATCTCTTAGTTTCTGGAGAAGAGCCAAAAACGAATAGAGTAATTCGTGTGGAAATTGGACCATCAATTGTCGCATGGCACTTGAACGAAGTAAAAAAGCCCTACACATTCTATATCGTTTTCGGCGCCAGAATTCAGTGTACTTCTTTCAGAAAAGGGCGAGCGAATCCGTAGGATGAGCGCTACCTTGTATTAAAAAATACCGTAACAATGCAATATTTCGACAGCAATAAAACAATAAACCGAACTTTTTCAGGGTACCCGTAGCTCTTTCGAATCTACATGATGCACATAATCCTAGCTCAAAAGCGATTTTACATTTGCATATGTTCTCTCGTTAGAAGAAGTCATACCTCTTTTGTAACACATTCACAATAGATAAGTGAAGACAATTTTTCTTCAGTCAACGGTGACGCACATTCAACATCATCTGTCATCATAAGATTATGTTGACGTAATTCTTCTTTCATACGTTGTTGTACGTGAGGGTTTTTACTGAGAAAAAAGATGAATCATGATAGACCTGCCGATGTAGTACCATATCCAGCCATTATTGACAATAATACTTCATCAAGCATTTCTGCACGTGTCAAACCTGATGAGATTTTTTGATCATTGGCATCTTCATTAACTGATGAGACAAGCGATGCAATAAGATTCTTTGGTCGACGATTTTCTGTTTCATATTGTTGATTTTGTTCTTCTTCAACAATCTTTTCTGTAACTTGACGAATAAATCGATGAGCTCGTTGATATTTCAAATTGAATTTCAAATAGATTTTAGCCAATCATCGAGGTAGCCAAGGCATCATCATTATATGCACTACATAGAAAACAAAATCTTCAAATGCTATTTTCAACGGTGAATCTGTTTGAACATCGAAATCATAGTCAAAACCAATAAATCCAATGAGATTCATCGTCAATGATTGACAACAACTTACAAGATTTCGATGTATTTGACCATCATGAAGATTTCGATCGATAAGACGATCGGTACATTGAAGAATAGTGTCTAAATGAGTTATCATCTTTGCTCGCTTGAACATTGGTAACATAACTCGAATATGACGTTTCCATTTAGCACCTGTTAGCAAAGAAATTCCATAAGGACAAAGTAAATCAAAATTTGGCATAATTAAAGGTGATTGTTCGAAGTTGTGACGGTCTGTAAATATAATTTGAGCATGTTCAGGTCTACAAAATACTATACATCGATGTGGCCCGAACCAAAACATGAATTTGTCACCATATCGACGTTGATAGTCAATCAATATTTCAGGAAAAGTTCTTTTTCCTGACAATAGACCTGAATTAATTAGATTTCCAACCAAAATTTGAGGTTTCATTCCAGGTGGATCATCAGATGATGGAGAAAACTGTCGTTTCAAATATAAATACCCAAGAAAAATTGTTAAACAAAGGAGACTTGTGAATAATAACAATTCCATGAAGAATACAAAGTATCACGAGAAATGCACAGCTTCAGTACAAAGGAGTAATAGTTCGAATAAAAATATTACTTGCTTTTATTTTCTTTTCTGTTGGCAGGCAGAAACAAGTTTTTCTTGTCGACACGTGCAGTGATAAGCGTGTGCAACACAACAGAACGCGTCACACTATTTTCTTTTCTTTTTGAAAATATCTATAAGAATGAAATGTTCATTTTCTCTATTTAACGACCTTACTCATTTTAGTTCGAGCGATTTCGCCAGTCCCGAAAGATAGGAACAACAAAAATAGTTCTGTAGATGGTTTGCACTGTTAAAGCTTTTTATTTTAAAAAATTCTTCAAAAGCAATGATTCAATTTTTTTAAAATGGTCTCCCAAGGGGCCATTCGATAGGTATTTCGACCCGTCAATTGAGCATCGAGATTCTAGATAGAGCCTTCAGCGTGCCATTTTCCTATAGGTCAAGGGTTTGGCGTTAGGTCATTTCGACTAGCAGTTGCTAACTACTGGAACGATTATCTTCGCGGGGATCGAAATTTGATCAAAATAAAAAAGTTTTTCTTCGATAGATATCTCAGTTTCGAGTCTTCGAAACCTATCGAATGTATGCGAAAGAGTAGATTTGAACATGGGGACTTACGATTTTCTTTCATCGAACAATTGACCTAATTAATCAACAGACGGTATCGTCAAACTTCGTCATATTGTCGCCAAAGTGGAAAGCTTTCCAACTATACGATGTGCATCTGAAGAAACAATCGATGTTCTAATAGAAGCTGCTACTCATGCAGAATATGATCGATTGAAAGATGTCTCAAGCAATATTTTTCTTGGTCAACTAGCCAAAATCGGTACCGGCTCGTTTGATATATTCACATCCGTATAGTTCAGTCGAATAACTTCACTTTGAAGTATGGCAACCGTTGCATCTTTCAGTTCGGCTTGTTCCTTATCACTCACTGTTCTATATAGTTGGTTTCGTTGGGTTCGAAATTTAATGTTCCAAAATCGCAATATAGAGTAATCACCTGGCACGGAATTGAACGCTTCAGTAAGACGGATGAGTTGAACATCGCTCTCAGATGAATGCTCAATGTGTTCGACAGTATCTATATCAGAGTTTACTTCCACTTCTACACAGATTCGAGCATCATTCTTGAAGTATTCAACGACAGCCCGAAGAAATTTTTTCAACGTTGCTCATCAGTGATACGACGTATGACCTTGACACCGACATCAATACCCATTCTGTTCCCAATAATATTGTTCTATGTGAAAATTAGTGAGAGTGTGTTGATATAATCCTCTCTTTGTACTTTGCGAAAGTGGGAAAAAACCCAGGCATAAAAGAAAAAAAGATCGACTTCAGAAAGCAAGAGATTGAAACAAAGACAAATAATGGCATATATTCTCCAGAGTAGTGAATCACACAGCTGTGTAAATTTTTACAGAGACTACTGCGAAGAATAAGAAATGCAGCAAACAAATACAGGGTGAGCTAGAAGTCCCGATTCGACTTGTACAATAAATTTTTATGAAGTGAAACACGTGATTGAGAAACAGTTGATTGCTGTAGGAAAGGATACTATTGATCATATCATCTTATAATTACATACGATCGTGTTTCTTTTCAGTATGTCGAATAACATAGTGTATCCAACAGTCGACCAATTAATAATATTTTAGATCTAAGATGTTGACCATGATATTCGATTACATTTACAATCATTACTTAAATGTGGACCTCGACTTTAGTCTATCATATCAGAATGTTGGCAGTGATGTAGTGGTTGTGCATGTTCATTTGGTTGGCACAATTGTCGACTAAACAAAGAAAAGAATCATGTTTTTATCTTCATCTCTGGAGCAGTATGAGAACGAAAGCTCTTAATCTGATGGCATAAATTTTTATTTTTTATGAATACTTCCGATTATTTTTTCTGTTCTGCTTCTCCATACAAGGCTAATGCAGCATTCAAGCCAGAGTTTAATCCTTCATTTCGAGATGAATATCAACTAATTGAAATTCCAGTATGTGTCATGCTCAGTCCGCTATTTTAGTCTAAAAAGGATAACGGACGAATGTTCGGAAATACAGCCGAGTTTTCAATGCGGAGCTCGTTGTTCTTTGTTTGAAAGCCGAGTTCATTTCCAATGATGAAAGTTCTCTCGTCTAAGCTGCAATTTCAGCCAGACTACCGTCTTGGATACAACTTTCAATATTTAACAATGTGTAAAATTGTTTATTTTCTGTTACCGATTGTAGAACTGCAAATGTTGTTTATTTAGATAGATTTCATGCTTTGGAATCTTTGAAGGTGAGCGTATGAAAGTAATGGCGAGGTGTTGCCAACTATTAGGCTCAAAAAGGTGGATGAGAGTGTATTTTAGCATGACGAATAACCGTAGGAAACAGATCTTAGTTTATGTGTCCTTGTTCGTCAATGCTCAAATGTAAGTTGGTCCAGTCATCTTCGAGACGAAAGTTGAACATAAACATTGGTTTTCGGTTTTTTTTGCTGATGATAATTCACGTAGAATGAACCAAAGGGGGATGGTAAACTTTTCACTATTGATCTGCAAAATATAAAAAATGTTGAAGACATCAGCATCGTCATGTTTTATTGTTAGAATTTGCTCAAAAAATGGGTCATGTTGAACCGCAACATCTTTTCGTGACAAATAATCAAGTATGCCTCGAGCACCACATTCGCTTGCGGAAATAAGATTAAGAAAGAGATTTTCGCAACATACATCATTGATATTCGAAAAATTGATGTGAATAATCATTTTATCTAAGAGCTGTAGATGCTTGGAAAAGAATTTCTTGAGGAACCTTTCGCTAAAATCAATCGACAGAAACGATGAGAGATTGTAGATAGACGGAAAAGATCTTGAAGAGACGGTATTGCCAAAAAATTTTCTCCTACATTTTGTCAGAAAGTTTGACACTTGGTTGTAATGTAGTTCTTGTTAAGGCCACCATCCCCCCTCCTCAAAATAAAATTGCTCACCGATTTACACTTCGTCGTCTTGTGAGAACAGATTCTTCATCCCTAGGTCATTGTACAGGGCTGAAAATTCCAGGGCACACTGGAGATGGGTCATCCTCGCATCACTGAAAATTTCTGCCCCATTCCTTGATACTTAGCTAGAGATATAACAATTTTACTGCACATGTCTTTTTATGTCCGATGGCTTCCAGTATCTCCAGCATAACTCTATCACAGTACGATACAAAGTCAAATATTTTTTTTGCTTGAAAGCTCGTCTCTAGGGCTAGCCCCTCTCGTGACCCGTTTTTGAAAATAAGCTTTTTTATTATTATATAAGAACACATCTTTATAGAAAAAGCGCCATTATTGAGGGATTTTTTGAGTCATTGAACTTGTCATCCATTTTCTTCGCTTAAAAAGTATGAATTTAAAAAAAGGGCCACGAAATGGGCTAGTCCTAGAGACAAGCTTTCAAACAAAAAAATATTATATATATATAATGAGGGTCCACAGAGAATTTTTGGAGATGAGATGAGCTATTTTTTGACCCTTGCTTGGTTCATATCTCTGTCAAACGGCAGAGTATCGAGCTGAAAATTTTACCACAGCCTACTCACTTCAGCCCCAACACATGCTCCAAATTTCAGCCCATTTGAACGTACATAGGCTGAGATCGATTTTTGAGGGGGAGGCCTTACGTAGAGACATGGCTTTGTTGTATGTTGGGGGGCACAAGGAAATCTGAAATGAAAGTGGAAGTAATACGGCTAACGTAATCTACTCTTTGATCATTGCACAAGTGAGCTTTAAATATTCGAGCATCTCTTATTGCGAAAAGGATCCGTTGCTATGATTGCATTTTTCATTTTGAGGGTGTGTGGGTGTGGATGTGGGTGTTTGTCTCTTTTTACAATGTACACAAACACGCACACGCACACGCTCCCACACCCTTATTTAATAACAAAGATAGACGAAGATTATAACTCATTTTTGTGGAAATAACTAAGTGATTTTTTGTGAGCATCGAGATGTGGAGACATGGGAACATTGAAAGACTGGTTAAATTCCAATGTTAGATGAAATAATTTCGTCATTTTTTTTTTTACATTTGGGACATCGGGATATTGGAGACAGGTGACGTTTTTTTAATAATGGATAAAATAATTTTTTCATTTTCAATAAGAAAATTTCGTCAAGGTCGAAAGAAAAGAAAAAATTGCACAATTATTTCCAGTCTACTTTAAACTAGCTTTTGTAACCGAACCTTTATGATATGCCTAGAGCAGAAGGTTGGAAACAGAACGAGAAAGTGTGGGTGTGAGTGTGAGTGTAGGTGTGGATGTGTGAGTGTCTGTGCGTGTGTGTAGGTGTGGGTGTGGGTATGTGTATGAAGAGAAGACCCACACTCACAGCCACAGCCACACCCAACAAACTATTCCACAGCTCATGAATATTCATCATTGGAATTTCATCTACTTTTATCATTGACATTGCATTGAAGCTGATAATTTCTCTCGTTGAAAAATACTTTGTAATAAGTAAATCAACAATTTCCAATGTTCTTATTCATCTATTTCTGCACACGTATTCGACAAATATTTCTAATGTTTATTGTTCAACGATCATGTGACAAACCTATTAGAATAACGCAGATTTTATTCATTTATTTCATTAATTTTAAACTGAACAATATCAGACCGCGTTAAACAATCACATGATAAATAAATAATCATGTCCCAATGATCTAATTCACTAACTATGCCTTTTAATACTGGTCGAAAAGATTATAAATTTAATTCCTGATGGAAATAAATTGTATCAGATTTGAATAACTAAAATCATGTTTAGTCCAATAAAACTATTCAGCAATATTATATACATCGAAACTAAAACTTTAAGACTATATATATGTACTTTTGAAAGATGGTAGAATAAATGAAGGACAATAACGATCACTATTAGAACACTGTTCGTTTATTTTCGTCATTGCAAAAAAGAAAGA